AATGCTACATTAGTCACCTGGCCCGAATTGATTAATCGATGATGTGGTCATATTTTTTATGATGTAGACGAATTGTTCATGGCATGGCGAAATTAGTATATTACATGTCATGCATTTTATTATTGACATATGTTTAAAATTGAAAATGATTTGCATGCATTCTAAAAGAAAATAAAAAACAAAGCATCTCACAAGTCAATTGCTTGCCGGCACAATAAGAATATTTTGATATTTTGTGGCGAAAATATTCATGACAAAACTTTCTATTTTTCGTTGCTTAAAAGTTTATAGCGACGAAAATTTATCGTCATAGCTAGCGTGTCAATGTAGCAATGTCACAAATATATGTGTGACATTATTCTGATTGTCACTAAAAAAATACATTTAGTGACATCGGCCTCGTCACTTCTACAATCAAGATTTTCATCTTTGAAATTCTTAAACTGTCACTAAAATTTCATATTAAAATGATGAAATTATATTTTGTAGTTTAAGTATAAACTTATATAGACGAACTTGTCACTTTTACAATTTAAATTTCATTAATTGACTATTTAAATTGTTACAAAAAAAATATATTTTAAATAAAAATTTGAAATATTTGTCATTTGGATTCTAACTTATAGTGACGAATTTCATTAAAAAAATATTATTTTTTATTTTCAAAAATTATATTATTTTTAGCACGATCCACAAGACTCACCTCGGAGGGCCTAGGCCAAAATTTCTCACACAAAATCATGGTAAGGTTTTTTAATTTGTCTATATTGAGACTTCAACTCATGACATCTTGTATCGCACAAAGTTTTTTATACTACTAGCCTATATCCATCTATGCAACATATTTTTACAATTTTTATATCTATTAACTAATGTGTATTACATATATTGAACCTTTTATTTATTAAATTTACTTGCGTAATATATATAAATCAATAACTATATATATGAGAAAAATATTTATTAAATATAGTATATTTTATATTTAAAATTTGTAAAAAGAGCACTATTAATTAAAACTATCATACCATTTTACCTGTTCGATATATAAATATTTAATGTATAACCTGGTAACTATATTTAAGATCAATATTAATAATACAAATTTATATCCTACACAAGTTCATTTTTAGTTGTCATGAATAGGGTACATTTTGTTTATAATAATATAATTCATCATTTATAACTCTTAAATTGTGATAAAGTCGTCATAAAATATATAACTTTATGATGAAAGTTACTAGCATCATAAGTAGGAAACTTTTTCAATGACAAATATACAACTTATCAATAATAAATACTAATTTTTGACAAAAATTGTCATAAAATATGTAATTCTATGTGAATCTAACAATTCCATAAATAAAATTATTTTTAGTGACAAAACTAAATTTTGTGTATGACGAAGATTTTGCTGTTTACAAATATTTTGCTGTGTAAGAGAATTTTATACATAAAATATACCATAGAAAATGACATTTAAAATTGTTAGAGCACCCACAGTGCTTTGGGTTCATTCACAAAAATATACATGCCACATAATAAACAGATTCAGTCAAGAAAAATATATACTTCAATGCAAGTGCAAGTGGACCGAATCCTGCTTATGTGGCAGCAAAAAAAAGAGACCTGGTCTAACCTTAAGTCTATTTTAGAGACCCAAGTAGAGACCTAGTCTCTTTGCATTTGAGTTAAATTCGATACTTTTATATATTTCTGTCCATGTCATTTAAGACTTAGATATATAAAAGACTTAGGTCTAGTGAAACTCATTATGTGTCATTTACAAAAATCAAGTTTAACTCATAATGAAAATTGAAAATGACATTTGATATTTATAGAAAATTTTACACATAAAACATACCATAAAAATTTAAGTAACACATAAAACATATTATATAAACCAAGAACCGAAATATGAAAATTGAGAATCAAAATCGAATATTGCACATACACTAAGATACATATATATTTCGGAAATATGTTGTTTTTGTTAGATCAATAAGCATATCATGCGAATAGGAATCAAGAATAGAAAATGGCTAGTACCCAACAGAATGGAATAAGAACAAACTATTAAATAATCAACCAAATCGATTATTTTCAATTAATTCGGTCTCATGATTTTTTATACAAAATTTTACCTATAAAGAATTGACAGTGAATTTTAAAGGTTGTATTCATTTGAAATTTTGAGTGGCATTCTAAAACATCCGTAAATTCAAGACTTTTTATAATTTGTTGTTTTGGTGAAATGCTTATAAATCTTAAGTATAAAGGTTGAATTTGAGTATTAGATTTGGTATTTTTTTTTTTTGGCCGAAACGATAGAGAATTTATATAATAGGCGCACAAATGTGCAAAGATACAATTTGAAATGCAGCCCAAAGCTGAATAAAATGGGAGGACAGGTCTGACGACCGCCTAGAAGCCCGACACTAGCAAATACTAGCAACCAAAACAAGACACTCGAAACAACAAACACACAAAAAATCTACAACTAAAAGGCTCCCCACAGGAGAATAGAGACAGGAACTCGTCCACACAGGATACTAAGTTGCTCCCGCTCACACAGAGGCCAACGGCCCAGACCAAAAATACAAGACATGAAACACTCGGGTAAAAGACCCGGACCAAAAACTCATTACTAACACAGACGCAAACAACAAAATAAAGGAAAACAACAAAGAGCCCTTCCAAAGTATCGACACCTAACCGAACCAACGGAAACAATGCAACTGTGAATCCCGCAGCCAGATGGATCGACCCCGAAACTGCCCAAACCACTCGGTTGCCTAACGGTGTCGAACCCCGAGCCCCGAAACCACACCAGGCCACCCCGCACCACGGCCACAACACCAGATTGTCCCAAACAGACAAACGAGTACCAAGGCCCCAGTCCCAACCCCATCACGCTTGGAAGCTGTCCAAAGCCACCGCACCACCGCCTCACCACTTCCACCATCACCACAGGCAGAAGAAGAAGAACGGCCGCTACGATCTCTTCGACCCAAAAGTCGATTAAACTTCGGACAGCAGCAACTCCCAATTCGCCCAACCAACAACATCGCCGAGCAATTGGGTAGCGTCCCGCCTTGAGAACCGCACGACGGCTCCACCACCGCCCAGAAGAGAAGCCACCGCCCGGAAGTCGCGAAAAGTCGCCGGAAAAGATGAAGACCGTCCGCGATAGGCGAGCCCGGCTCCATGAGAAACGGATAGCGGAGCGGAGAATAAGAGGCAGGAGCCAAGCGGCCAAGGGCCGGCGAAGCTCGATGGACACTTTGGAAGGCCGACGACATGAATCTGAGGAAACGAGGTCTAGAGAAATTGGGGGTAAGGGCGAGAGTTTTCAGACTACCTAAAGAGATGGAAGTTCATTATTAGATTTGGTATATTTACTTTGTGTTTGAAATCTCAACAAATCTTTAAAAAATTGTAATAAATTTTAATTTTTACGTTAAATAATTAAGAACTTTTTTAAGCCTTTTTAAAATTTGAAGTTCATAATTTTTACCTAAAGAGATGGAAGTTCATAATTTTTTGACGTCGAAAATGAGGAAAAACAAACTGATGTGTAACTTTGACACTTTATGGTAAACTTAATAATTTGGTTTTGATCAAAACAAGTTGCAAGCTAATTTCCCAAGGCAATCTTATCCCACAATATAACAGGGACAAAAATAACATTAATTTAGGGTGACGTCAC